TATAATTAATATAATTAGTAGCCTTAATTAAGCTAATTAACTAATTAAAGTTCTAATTAGTACTATAGCTTATTCTACTATCTAATTATTCTATAGTATTTGTTTAGCTAAGTATTCTAGATACTAGTAGGCTATAATACTATTCCCTCTTTAATCTATATTACTCTAATATAAGAACTTTCTATCTTATAGCTCTTCGTTATATCTAAGGTCTATTCTAAATCTAGTACTATTTATTATTACTATCTTATAGAATATATTAAATATTCTAGAGATACTATAGTTAAGCCTTATACTACTTATATAAAGTATAAGAGGGTTTACTATATCTATATTCGCTCTAGTTAGTATAGCAAGTATATATACTAAGGTTAGTACTATAACTTATATATAATATAACTAGAATAGAAGTAGTTAAAGAAAGAGTAGATTTATCTTTATAAAGATATCGAGGAGATATATAAGGCTTAAGAAAAGGCTTATAAAGTCTTAAATACTAGTTTTATAAAGGAGATATATTTATAGTAGTAGCTTAACTTACTAGAAATATAAGAAGCAAATATAATTACTATAGAGAATATAAATATTTAGGATTAAGAAGTACTAGAGTTATTAGATCTTCTCTATAACCTAGTTCTAGCTAAGACTAGTTTATCTCTTTAGTTAGGTCCTAAGACTTAGAATACCCTTAATAGTAGTTTTAATCTTAAGAGCAACTTCTAAGACTTTCCTTCTAACTCTAATAGAACTAGTATAGAAGTATCTAGTAGTTCTTAAGGTTAATAAGTAGTTCCTATATATTGTCTAAGTCTAGGTAACCTTTCTACTTAACGAGGTAATTCTAACCTTCTTATTTTAAGATCTTCTTAACTTCCTACTTAGTTTCTTCTTAGTCTTTATAGTAGAATATAGTTTAGTAAGATATTTCGGGGTCTACTAGTTCTAGAAAAGAGATATAGAATACTAGATATATTCTAGTATCTTTTAGAAGTTCGAGTTAGTAATTAACTAGTAATTATTTCTCTAAGATTATAAAAGGTCTAACCTTAACCTAATTAAGTTTCTTACTATTTCTTTTAGTCTTAAGGTTCTTTATAAGGAGATAGACCTTATCCCTCTTCTTAAGCTAAAGACCTATAATCGATTTCGATCTTACTATAGTCTTTAAGGAAGATATATAAATATTCTTATAATAGAGCTATTATAAGTCTTTTATATATTGTTTAGTAGCCTCTATATTTAGTTCTAGGACTAGTATTATATCTAGCCTTAGTAAGTATATAAAGTTCGCTTTATAAGGCGACACTTTTATTATTTCTAATATATAGCTATTTAGTACTATTTACGCTATTAGGAGTAGTATTAACTAGTTATCTTATATATAGTTAATATAAGCTTATAAATAGGCTTCTAAGGTCTAGTTTATATACTCTATCTATCTATCTATTTATAGTTAGAAGGCTGTTAAGAGTTTATAGCTAATTCCGAGGTTAGAAATAAATATTTACTAATAATTAGAGTAAAAGGTTAGTCCTCTATCCGAGATAATAACCTTTAGATATCTATAGTAGTAGAACAGCCTATCTATAATAAGGTAGGCTTACTATTTAGCTATAATTATAGTATTATATATAATAAAGTATATATACTTAGTAAGCCTATCGACTATAATAAGTATTAAGTTATATATCGATTTTGTCGCTAGATCCTATAACTTTAGTAGTAGTCCGATAAAGTCTATTATAACTTCTTCCTATAGTTTAGTTAGTAGTTATTATACTATTAGTTCTCTATAAGTTATATATTATACTAACTTGTTTATCTAGTATTCGATATATCTTTTAATATAGTTTACTATATATTTCTTTATATATAGGAATACGAAGTATTATTATATTAGCTTTATTATCTTAGTAACTCCTAAGTGTCCTCTCTCTAGTAGGTTATAGTAATATATAATTACCTTACTAATTTGCTTCTCTAATATAACGAACTTCTTATATTCGTTAATTAGAAATTCCTTATTATAGTTATCTAGTATTTATATTATTATATTAAATTCCTATATATTAGCGGATAGTATCCTATCCTTATTTGCTTTAAGAATTCGATATTACTATATAATATATTCTTCTATATAGTCGGATTATCGACTAAGAGTATCTACTCTAGTATTATCTTTTCTTAAAGTATACTAGATAACGAACTTATACTATCCTAAGAGTTCCGACTATTAGGCCTACTATTAAGTTAACTCTTTAGTAGTAGTAAAGTACGTTAAGTTCTTATAGTTAGAGAAGATTATTACTTTTAGTATTTCTTCTATATAGATTCTCTAGTATCTTAGGCTTATAATAATAGCTAGGAATTCCTTATTATAAATATTATAGTTTGCTTCTACTAGACTTAGTTTCCTCGAGTAGTATACTACTAAGTATCTTTGTCTATTCTCTTCTTAAGTAAGATATACTCTAATTATATAGTTAGAGGTATCTATCTCTATTTATATAGGTTTAGTAGTATCGAATATTTATAGAACTAGTACTTCGATATATTATTTCTTAATTAATACGAAAGCTTCTTCTTAAGCTTTAGTCTAACTAAAGGCTTTGTCTTTCTTTATTAGGCATATTAGTAGTTCTAATATTTTAGAGTATTTTAAGATAAACTTTCGATTATAGTTTATAAGTCCTAAAAATACTTAGATCTTCTTAATAGTTTTTAGTTATAGCTACTTCTATATAGATATAATCTTATCTAGACTAATTCGTATACTATAGATTCTAATAACGAATCCGAGGAACTTAACTTCTTTTTAATAGAACTTATACTTCTTTAGTATAGT